CCCCCCCCAGCAGACCAGGGACACCGGGAGCAAGGCGGCAGCGGGGGGTGCCTCGCCTCTGAGGCTTTGCTCTGGCGAGGGACGCTTTGCTCCTGGTGCCCCTGGTCTGCTGGGGACCGTCTCCAGCAGACCAGGAACACCGGGAGCAAAGCCGGGGAGGCGGAGGGGAGCTGCTGGTTGGCCTCTTAAGGAGGGGTAGTCTTATACGGCGAGTATAAGACGAAAATCTATCTTTTAACTAGAAAATTAGGGGGTCGTCTTATACGCCCAGTCGCCTTATACGCCGGAAAATACGGTATCTCTCTCTCCTAATTAAGCTAAAAAATTTTAGATTAAAGTGATGGCTTTATGAAATTATACAATGCTCATTGGTTCACATGGATACTACAATACTGACTTAAATATTTCCAGTACCATGGATTCCAATACTATCTTAACGATTCTCCAATTTTTCTATTATATTTCAACATTACCAAGCACACTGCTACAAAATGAGAACACTGCAATAAACGTAGCCAATTCACAAAGTAAAAACCTGAACAAAGGGAAATGATCACAGTAGGTGTATTTTGCCCTGTAAGAAACATTTTCTTCTGATATTTTATATCACAAATGACACTTGCAATACTAGATAATGAGACTCTATACTATAGATTTATCCATTCATAATGTGTATGTATAAGAAACCATTCTGTAGTATCTAGGTGTCAACTTTATTCACATCTTCTGTGAAATGTTAAGTCTTCCCAATAAAACCTCTCTTGCTTCATCATAATCATCTTCCACTTGAATATTCAATGTGCACAACATATAGATATGTTAGTGTTTCTTTAAAAAACAACAACATGTATTTACTAGTCTTATGAACAAGTTCCAGACAGTACACAGAAGAACGCTTGAATAAAAACTCTTCAGTCAAGAGTTCTGCTCTTTAGTCAAGCTGTAGGATACATACACTGATGAATAAAAACCTTCTGCCTCAGAAAAAGAGGTTTGATTCTAGTGTTCAGACTCAAAGCATGGTTTGGAAAATTAAAAAATATATCATGTGTCAACAAATACAAAATAGATACATTTCTCCTGGTATGCTAAAGCCTGGCTCTGTGAGGTGCTGAGTGCCTTCAATTCCCAGTCACATCGATGGGACATGACCATGGATGCACTTGGGAGGTATCCAAAAGGTATCCAGCGACTTTCAGGATCCGGCCCCTATATCACTATAGAGAAATTTAAGATTCGGAGTAAAGTTTGTGTATAGAAAGTGAGTATTGGGGACAAGTGGGAAAAAGGCTGGCCTAAAGCAAGTAAATAGCTACAGTTTTAGTTAGTGACTATGTACACAATACTATTCTAGACTAAACATTTTAAGAGCCCATTATAGATTTATTACTTATGTTTTTTAAAGCCATTGACTATACATTGTAAAAATTCACCCTAATTCACTAAAATAATCTCTGCCCTGAGAAGTAACATTACACACCAAGTAAAAGCCACAAGGAAATATCCAGTTTATAATCATTGAGCATATTAACATTTTGAAAGCATAAACTGACAAACAAAGAATTTTCTTGGAAGCACAAGTTTCTTCCAATACAACGTTCTGTCAGAGGAAGTAGTTGGTGAGGCTATGTTTTTATTTTATTTTATTTCCTCTAGATTTGTTTCTATATGGCCTTACTGAGAAAAGCTTTTGCGATTTGGGCTTAGCCTGAGATTGTGAATGAACCTGATGAATTCCACTAAAGTTAAGGGCACTATATCACAGCATTTTTGGGAGGTAGTCAAAGTATCCTTAGGTTAAATGAGGCCACCTCCCCATAGCTTCATCACATTCTTTGTTAGATGGGGAAAGAGGACTAGCAGTTCAGAAAGAACCATTCTCTGAGTACAATGGGAAAGAGAAGTAAAAACACGGTAGAGAATACAATGGTCTTCTTTTGTTACTAAGCTGCATCTTAAGAACATTTTCAAATGATATATAAAGAAGCACAACATCAAAGCTGACAAGAAAACATCAAAACAGAGGGGAACCAGTACACATGTAGCTACCATCTACCTTTGATTTCAAGATCTCTGTAGAACAGGTATTCTCAGACTGGGGGTCACGAGGTGGTTACATGGAGATTGTTAATTGTCAATTCTGGGAGGCTGAGCGCCCAGAGCCCCTGATAAATTAAATTACCACCCCCACCATTTTTAATTTATAAAAGTGGAGGGCCACAATCACAGGCTTGCTGTGTGAAAGGGTTCACCTATACAAAAAAGTTGAAAATCACAGCTGCAGAAGACTGAGTTTGCCAGCTTATTTTTTAAATAATAGTATAAAGGACCAAAAAGCTCAGTATCACTTCTGTACCTTGGAAGCTGCAATACAGGTTTATAGAGGGGATGTGGGGGAGCCTCATCCAGAAGTTTAAATAATAAAATCCCTGTAGCCCAAAATGTTTCAGTATTCCACAATTGCTGTATTTGGTTCATTTTTAAAATAAGCCTTCTTATGAGATTTGATAGCGGGGTTTGATTGAGCAGAAAAGGCCCTTTCGAGATCCTTTGAATTCTGGTTGTGAATATTATGCAGTACTGTTCAAAGACTCATTAAAATTACCTACTTCAAGGTGAAGAGTACAAAAGGACTCATACATAATATCTAAAGTAAACACAAGACACTGAAATGCTTAAGCTAATTTCAGTTAAACAGAATCACTATGCTCTTTTAACTAGTAATAAATTACTCATTCAACTGACAATTCAATTTTCTCGTATTAAAACAATGAACATATTTTAAAGACTAAGCATTCAGCCAAGCATTGTAGTCATCCATCACTACAGTCATCTTGGATGCACTGTATGTTTTGCCCTACTGACTTCACCACATAAGATGAAAAACCAATTGCTGATGCAATACTAGGCAATACTGCACTATCCATCATTTTAAAAATGTGATTGTTCATTCTGACTTGATTGAAAATACAACTAACTACTTTTGGAATTCCAAATGACATTCATTGTTCAAAGACTTCGATTCATTTCCAGTGCAAAGATGTTACTATAAGACCGAGTCAGCACATGAAAAATGTCTGCACCGATGTAAATGCCATACAATATAATAAAGGACAGAGAGTTAACAGATACTGAACCTTAAAAAGGACCCAGACAGTTTAGTGCTGGATAAAGCCTGATTTATATCTATATTGCCTTTCAAAAAAGAATCATAAAAATGAATGTTTGGTGCTGCATGTCTGCAGTCAGATGATTCATCCAGCACAACCTCCATTTAATTATGGAGTTAGAATGTTCTGACCTATGAAACAGTAAATGCCAAATACAGTGTTACTTAATACTGAGGAGATGTGCTCAGCAACTTTTATGCATCTTAATTACCAATGGTATGCATCTAAATTTTTACTACTATTTATTATGTACCTCCTTCCCCAAATTGGGACTTTAAAGAAACTAGCCAAATTAAAACTAAGTAGTCATGTCTGTGAAAGATCATGGTTACAAGTCATCATAAAACTCTAAATTTGAAGATATACAGTACTCCCAAAGAATTATATTAATCACTTCAGATAAAAGGCTAATGGGCACTGACGTCTGAAATTTTATTAAAAAGACTATTTCCTTTTCTTTTTTACCACCCCCATAGATCTTTAAGATTAAAATAATTTTTAAAAATATACTGTTTTCCCTGGCAATTCTGTTCATTTAGTTTGTTCATTTCTATCAAAATTTCTATTTTGCTTATAGATTCCCACAATGTTGAGTCTTCAATGATGCAAGGTTTGGGTAATGCAAACCTGCAGGAAAGGAGTATTTTATTTACTAATGTAATTGTTTTCTTTGAAATTTTATAGCAATTGTGGAAATCAGACTTTCACTTTCTGAAACCTATTAGGACATCTTTACAGTATGAAAATGCATATCAGGTCTTAAAATGTATTTTTGGTTTGTGTGTGTCTTCCTACACACATGCTTAATTCCCCGTGACAACAAAAGAAGTTGTACATATGTATGAAAGGACAGAATTTGACCCTACATGTTTATGATGATGGAAGGGCTGTCAAATTCAATATCAGAATATTTCTACTATACAGCTCTAGGGAGCTAATTGAGACTTCAGTCTAAAAGTCGAGTAAAAAATAATGAATTTCAACTCTTGTTCTACCACCCACTCTTGACAATCTCTCTCCCCCAAAACAAAGAACTTGCACTAGGGTACAAGCAGAAGAGGGGACTCCCTCTCTCAACTCCCTCATATAATAATTTCCTACTTCACAAGGCACAAATTATCTTCACTTTTCTCCCTCCTCCAATACCTTTATATTAAAAAAGGTAAACTTTGAACCGATAAGACACAAAATTAGGTATTTTCACACTTCTAGGCTTCCAGCAATCACCAGGAAGTACATACAATTAGAAGTATTTCTATGAACTCATTGTAGCCACTGAAGAGCTATGAGAAGAAATGCCAAGTGACAGGAGGCAGCCATCTTTGCAGAGTTAAAAATCTAAGGGGGGAGTTTAAATTTAGAGACTCTGTTGAACCTATGATGGCTGTTTCCTGAATGACCCCACTGGTTGCTCTTTTCCCAGAAGACTGTTAAATTCAACCACATTGCTAAAGCCATACAAGAGATTGGTTTTCCCCTTGACATGCACGAGAAACTCTAGTAACAGAAGATTCTTAAAGGGACTTGGGATTATAGGAATCACATGTATTTCCAGTGCCTTTCTACTGCCCATAGTACTCTGAGCAGCAAATGCAGCAGCATGACACTGAGCATATCGGGGAAGCACATGGTGCAAAGGATTGTGGCAAAGGAGCTCTCCTGAAGCTCTGGTTCCTCTCAGCTAGTTTGTTCTGTTTGCAACAATGGTAAAAGTTGCCTTAGTGCAAGGCTCGCTTTAGAGTGACACAATGCTTCTACATGAGGGATTTGTACTTGCACGACTACACAGATGCTACTGCATGGGTACAGAAGTCCCTCATATAGATTAAAGTTCTGATAAAAATGCCAGTACAAGTATTAATACATACCTGCACTGGTAGCCGAAAGGAAAATTAAGATGAAAAATAACCTAAAACTGTGTAACTTGTCCATCCAGCACACAGATGCTTGAGGGTTGGATGGGAAAAGTTTCATTGACAGAGAAAAAAAAAAGAAATTGATGCCCTGCTTAGTGGGAGGAAGCAACACACACAGGCATGGAGGGGAAGACACCACATATTTTAAACAGTATTCAGAACTGTCAGCATAACTCCTTTTTTTATCCCATCATCTAAGATACTCATATGTCCTTAAAAAGCTATAGAAAAACTAACATGTACTGTTTAGTGGGCTTTGTAGAACTCTGTAGTGTACCTAATACATTCAGAAATTTAAATAAAGTGTCTTAACTCTGGCTTATTGGAGGCAAAAAATGACAAGTATGACATAAAAGAAAGAACTCTGCCTACAAATGCCGCACATTTAACCATACTTCTTCACTACATTTGTGAAACATGGTTCATTTTCCTGCATCTACCAGTAAGTATTTGACTTGACAAGGTCAATTTTGTAGGCTTTGATATCAATCATGTACAATAGATGTGGAAGGCAAATAAAATGCCACAGACAATAAACAAAAAGCACAATTCCAGTACTGTAGAAATATGTGCCCTTACAAATAATGAAAAAGGGGAACTAAAGACAGGAAAAGTGCAGCTTGATCTTTGCTACACAGCAATTCAGAAGAGCTATGATTGAAAAAGATGACTCCACCAACTTTAAGAGTAATTACCAACATTCACTATTATAAAGAATAATTTGGAAGATGGTTCATGTTACAACAACAGATCCACCTATTAGTTTTCCAGACATTCCATTTGGGCCAAAATAATTTTAAACTTTTTTCTGTAAAGCCCTATGGTTCATAGCCATGTTAGGATTAAAAAAAGATTTAAGTAGGACAATGATATGTATGAAGTCTGACAAGTAAAAATATAAATTGTGTAAAGTTTAAGTAAAACTAAATTTGCTTAATAAAAAGGTATGCCCGATTTTTTAATAAATAAAACAAAAGATTATTATTCTGTATATGAAGTTTAGCACTGACCATAAAGAAAGGTGGGAAGTACATGGGTAGCAAACACTTGTGACCATGACATGCATTTGTGTTTGATAAGAGAATATTGCACTAAAAGAGAACCCTGAAGGTTGCAACACTTCTTTCACTGACCTAGAAAAGAAATTAGCCATTTCCTGTAGGCAGTAGCAAACCTGGCCTGTTCTACGTCTCTGCAATTTGCTAAAATGTTATCAATGAATCTGTATTCCATTTCCAAGCCAAGAGAATCCTGTGTAGGGGCACGCTTCAGGCGTTTAGTTTCTTGAGTATAGCCTTGTTTGCTTGAATCATTTAAACCGTCAACATCCATGGCTTGACTCACATGACTGACTGCTGTACTGGGGTGTGAATTATTCAAAGTTCCATCATTGCTGTCCACAGAGATCAACGGTACAGTTGTAAGAGGAAGTTTGTTGCTTAAATGGTGCTGAAGATAGAACACATGCCGTCTTCAAAGGAAGACCAGGGAGGAGAGAAAAAAGTCATATATTGAAAAAAAGCAGCTGCCACTACTAAAGGTATTAAAGTAATAGAAATTACATTTCAACATGTCCTCTGAGCAAAACTCACTACAAAAATCAGCTTATTTTGAAGAGGGATGACTCCAGTTAAATAACGAGATATGAAGCTTTTCACTTCTCTATGACTTATCTGAAGAGTAACCAAAAATCATTACCATTTAACAGACAGTACTTGACATCATCTGTCAGCTGAGTGGGTAGTGTCATTTCCTTTCCTTGCACTAAAATCACCATCAGAATTTGACATTCTGAGTGACAAGTTCAACAGACTTCAAGCACTGAGAATTCAGAATGGGTTCCTTAAGTACAAGTGGATATACATGCTTCCTTTCATTACCCAGGAAGTGTACTTTTATTGTCCATGTTGCACAAGACCCCAGGTTAAAACAGAAGACTTTGTCTCTAGGAGACTTCTGTTAATCTAGTAGGCTATGTCTACACTGGCCCCTTTTCCGAAAGGGGCATGCTAATTTTCAACTTCAGAATAGGGAAATCCGCGGGGGATTTAAATATCCCCTGCGGGATTTAAATCAAGATGTCCGCCGCTTTTTTCCGGCTTGGGGAAAAGCCGGAAAAAAGCGTCTAGACTGGCCCGATCCTCCGGAATAAAGCCCTATTCGGAGGATCTCTTATTCCTACTTTGAAGTCAGGAATAAGAAATCCTCCGGAATAGGGCTTTATTCCGGAGGATCGGGCCAGTCTAGACGCTTTTTTCCGGCTTTTCCCCAAGCCGGAAAAAAGCGGCGGACATCTTTATTTAAATCCCCCGCGGGGGATATTTAAATCCCCCGCGGATTTCCCTATTCTGAAGTTGAAAATTAGCATGCCCCTTTCGGAAAAGGGGCCAGTGTAGACGTAGCCGTATAGTCTTAAAACTGGCATTGCCTACTAATTCTCACTGAAGGTGTGCACTTGTAACCAATTGATCAGCACATGTATTGTGTGTTGCACTCCATGCCTGCCTGCCCCTCAGAGCATATGCATTTCTTATAACTTTCAACTAGGGATCACAATTCTTTGGCTCAAGCAATACCAAGTCATATTTTCAGGTCAGAGGTTCCCACCTCGGACCTTAATATCAGGATGGAGGCTGTCACAAACACAAGGATTTGATTCAGAAAAATGTTTACATGTACACAGTAAGTTTTCTCCAATACATTTTCCATATTTTCTGTACAAGATCAATGTGATGTTTTATATTAACTGATGGGGATACTAAATATTTTTTTAAAAAAAACATGATTTTATTGTTCATGACAGGTGACAGATCAGTAGCAGAAGCATACCCTACGTCATACTACCAATGTGCCTCAATCCCGTCTTGTTTCATTTTGTAACTTTTTAACTCAGAAAGTGTGAAGTGCACTACAGATGAGAGGAGAAAAAAAAAAAAACAATCAGCAAGATTTCTCACCAGCTATATTCACTTAAAATATGTCTACACTGCATACTTATTTCAAAATAAGCTATTCTGGAAGAAATACTCTGAAATAGCTCATTTCGAAATAGCACGGCTACACTACAAGGAATCCTCAACATTAGTCTGGGCAGGCTTCCCTAATGTGAATGTCCTACCTCAATTTAGAGCCCCAGGAGGCACTGGGGAGTAATTACTTTGAATGACCCTACGGAGGAGCTATTTCGAAATAGCAGTGGGAGTGTCCACAATACTGCTAATCTGAAATAGCTATTTCAGAAGAGGAGTTATTCCTCATGCAATGAGGTTTACAGAAGTCAGAATAAGGCGTCCATTGTTTTGAATTTATTTTGAAATAATGGAACTGCTGTATAGACGCTCACATTGTTATTTTGGAATAACTGCTGTTATTCCAAGGTAACGCTGCTGTGTAGATGCACCTTAGTGTTGGAACAAGCTGAATGTTGACACTGCGAAATCCCAGAATAACCTGAATGATGACTATGTGAATTCCTGGCCCCACTGAGGTCAACATAAAAGCTCTCATGGATGTCAGTGGAGCCAAGAATTCACGCAGTGCTATGCGAACTGGCATATCACTAAATGGCAAAGAAGCCATAAGCTGTAATTTGGATTTCTTCAGTAAGTGAAAAAGTGAATGTACAAATAAGTTTGTTTCTTTTTGCTACTATTAGCCTCATCCAACCAGCACATCCAAGAAAGAGCAATTTGGATTCTACTCTCTCTTTTGAAAGATAATGGTTTACTGAATTCAAAGTACAGGACTATCAGTTACATCTGTACAAATACTCCGAAGGCAACTGTTACCTAAGGCAAAATATAGTGATGCTATGTGCGAAGACCCCTTTTGGCTATTCCAATTCCAGATTTGGTTTAGGGTTATTAGTTTAAATAAAAATACTTTCTCTAATGTAATAAACTTGATATTGATATCAATGGAAAGCAACCACAGAGTGCCACAATACTGCTGTTACAGTCCCAGATCAGAGTAGAATCAAATATGGATCCAAGAACTAAGGAAAGGGGCAATTATTCAATTACAGTTAGATTTCTGAGCCAATTTAGTGAATGTGTCTTTGACTACACTGTTTCTTTTATCTAGTCAGGCACATTTGGAGACTATGCAGATCATTTGCCTTTTATTCTTTAAATTTAAGCAGTTAATCTCCTAACATCCAGGCTTTATCCTGATAATACTGTTCTATGGAAGGATGTAGATAGCTTATTCCAACAAGGTACCAAAGTCCAATCAGAATTAAATTTGGTCTTTAAATTCAGATTTAAAGCAATTAAATCATTCAAAGGGATATTTTATTGACAAGTCCTCTTACCTGTGACACCACAGCGTTTCATGCCCAGGGAAGGTATCAATAAGATCAGTGCAGAACTCCAACTCTTCCTCTAGAAGATGGGCAAGATCTATCCTCTGATCTTCTGTACTGGCAGCTTCAAACACTTCATTTTTTTCATTCTTTGGAAGACTGGGGGTTTGCTCATTTACCAGCTGATTTTGCACCAGTATAGAATTGTTGGTCACAGTTCTGCTAATCAAGGACTTTATTAAGAACTTGCGATAGTGGAATCCACTATGGTCTGAAACATGCATGGACACCCAATGTTTAGTGGAAGAAAGTTCATCAAGGAGAATCTGAAAATAAGAATTAATAAAATTAACCAGTTCATATGAATAAAGAGTTTATAGGAAACAATATTATCCAATCCTGCCCACCAATAATCCTTCCTTTAATCTTGCCACCAATTCTGTCACCATCACCACCTCCTATGAAGAAAATAGTAAATTTAAAACAATACTAAAAATGAAAGTATCCATTTAAATAAACACTTTCCCCGAGCCATCCTATTATAGACACTTTCCAACATAGAATACTTATTCATGGGCAAGAGAAAAATGTTTAAATGAACATTGTTACCATACAAGTAATTCTGTATTTGTGGAATTAAGATTTGCTTATTTACCAACTACTACAAAAACATTTGTAGCTTTTCTACTCTCTACAAAGGAAGGAAAGACTATCTCAGAGACCTTCCTCAAAGGTGTGAAAGTAGTACCTGTGGAAGAGGTCTAGCACCAGAGTGAAATTTTATGGGGCATAAAGACAACAGACTGAGAGTTTTAAAAAAAAATGGCTAGTGAAAAGGGGGAAAAAAAAAAAACACCCCAACAACAAACATCTAGTCTAACAGGGGAGTTGCTTCCATCTATTGGGAGAGCGGCAAGCTACTAAAAGTCTTCACAGTAGGAATGACTCCAAAAACTTCACATTCATCCTGTGTTCATCTGTTAGAACTTGAAGTATGATAAATATGCACTTTTTGGGATAGAATGAAGAAACTTAGAACAGCTAAACACTACTTAGCCTGTCAGAAACCTTACAGGAGATTTGAATGAGGTGACTGTTATAATAAAAAGTTATAGTAAAGAGTCCTTTTTATCATAAAAGAACATTGAGTTATTCAGTAAAATGAATGGCCAATAAATTTAGAACCAACAGAAGTACTATTTAATTTAGGATATAAAATCACCCTGTAGTAACAGCTACCAGGGAACATCTGAGATACTGTGGCGGGATTGAGATCAGAGGAAATCCACTGACAGATATTCAATGGGACAGAATATCAGGTGCAGGATTTCAATAATGAAAATTTGGACTTTTCAGCAGAAGCAGACTTCTCTTCACCCCTTACTCAGGAGGAAACATTCTGAAACAGATGAGAGATATGCTTACTTGCAGATCATAAAAATAGCATTTGCAATGGAAAGCCTCCTGCCATTTCAACAATGGAGTTACTTTCAAGGTCTTTCATAATATGGTAAAAAGTCTTGAGGGCCAAAATATGGGAAGTGCGCTGTTTCACAAAAAGGAAGAGACATTGTTTGAATGTTAACAGAACAATGGTTACTGATGTGCAGTAGGGCTGTTAAATTTTGATTAATCAGCTAATTGAGTAGTCACTGGAACTTCCACCGACTCCTGGATTCGTTGATGGGGGCGGGGTGGGTCGCTCGTTTTAAAAAAAGCAAAATCACACTTTATAGAAGACGCTGGTTGAATATATTTCATTTACTAAGCTACTCGTAGACTCCATCACTCTTTAAAAGGGATTTAAGCAACAAAATTTGTTCCTGGAAAGAAAACTCAACTAGTAAAATAATGTTATAAATACTAGACTACAGATTGTAATAGAAACCACATAATTAAAGTTGCCAATTAAATCAGTTATTGCAAGTAATCAATACAAAATAAACATGATTAATCACAGTTTTAATTACACATAATAGAATACCAATTTAAAAATATTTTTGGATGTTTTTCTACATTTTCAAATACATTTCAATTACAGAGTAAGAAGTAGACAGTGCTCACTTTATTTTTATTACAAATAATTGCAATGTAAAAAAAGATTAAAATATTATTTCAGTTCACCTCATACAAGTACTATAATGCAATCTCTATCATAAAAATACAATTTACAAATGTGGAATTATTAACAACTAGCTGGAGTTACCCGGCGTTGCTCGGTCCTGTTCCCGGCTGGCCGATTCACTCTCCCACGCCCCTACCCACCAGCCCTGCTTTCCTGCTGGCCGGTTCTCCTCCTCCCAATCTCCCCCGACCAGCTCTGCTTCCCATCTGCTGCCCCCGACCCCTATCCCCTGACCAGCTCTGCCTACAAATGTGGAATTATTAACAACTAGCTGGAGTTACCCGGCGTTGCTCGGTCCTGTTCCCGGCTGGCCGATTCACTCTCCCACGCCCCTACCCACCAGCCCTGCTTTCCTGCTGGCCGGTTCTCCTCCTCCCAATCTCCCCCGACCAGCTCTGCTTCCCATCTGCTGCCCCCGACCCCTATCCCCTGACCAGCTCTGCCTCCCACCATCTCCCCCCCCCCCCACCACCCCCGCCCCCC